ATAGAACGAAGCAAAAGTGCGCTCGACCTGTTCCGCTCCTACGCTAGTGCCGACCCGTTACGAAATGGCTATCTGCGGCGGTTTATAATTTTGTACCTTGACTATCTGGGATGGAGGCGAACGTATAATCTGACCGGTCGAAGGGGGAGTCAAGGGAGGGGGGAGATCCTGCATTTTGTTTGTTTAGGAATGTTAATAATATCGTGAAACGAAGTCGTCCATGTCGTCGTCGCGACACGAACCTCGAGTTCGATTTTTATTTTTTTTTTTTTTTTTCGTACGGATTCACATGATCCGCGTAATCGATGTATTAAGAGTACTCGTTTCGCGATTTTCCTTGGGATTCTCGACGCTATATTTTATTCGCTTAGGAATGTTAATAATATCGTGAAGCGATATCCAATTTTGTCACACACGAAGTTGGACAAGCACGATTTAAGTTAACGATGAATCGTGATCGTGTCCGATTTTTATCTTTTTGGCTAAGATGTTATTACATGGTTGTATAATAAACATTAACTACCTGAAAACGATGTTTCTTCTGGATCCTCGATGCTGTGTATCGTTCGGTTAGGAATGTTAATAATATCATAAAGCGCATCCAATTTTGTCACACACGAATACCGAACACGATTTAATTAATGAAATCCTGTTCGAGTTTTATTCATTGATTTTTATACGTGATCGTAGAAGATGATCTTCTACGATTCACTCTCGCTAGAGTTCTTTTGAGAATAAATGAATATTTGCTATTCAGATTAATTTCTTTTCGATTTATCTATTTTTGATTCGTATAGCGTGGATTAATTTAATTATTCGTCGCCAATTTTACGTAAAAAGTCATTAAAAAGTGTACTATATATCGAATGACTGATAATGCAAATGTAATGAAGGAGGAAAATGTTTAATGATAGGATAAGAAATGAAGGTTGAATAGCTTGTAATATTGGTTTTAAAAGATAATTAGGTAAGCAATTTTGTAATTATTAGCGATGAACATGGAGGAATTTTTGAGACTCACATTTCTTTTAAGCAAATTTTCATTTTAGCTCATAAGAAAAAATATTTATGATCGAGACAATTAAAAATAATGTGGGATGTAAGAAATACGAGATAAATCATAAGAAGACGAAAGCAAAATTTCTCAATGCCATCGGGTAATTGGTTCATCGTTCGTACGTACAAAACAGCTTTTATCCTCCACGATATAATCTTAAGGGATACAAGTTAGAAATATACACTCGTTTTGTGTGATATGGAAGTTGAGCGAAGGGCACCTTGATCAACACTTTAATTGGACCAAGACACCGAGGCACCGAGAACGTGGACGGCCCTGGAGAATTTACCAGGCTTTACCGAATGAACACACGATAAAGCGAGACAAAATCAGAACAAGAGGAAAGAAGAAAAAGAAGGGGAGGGGGGGATGGTGAGTGGCGGCAGACGAAAGAAAGAAAGAGAAAGGGAAAGAGAGAGAGAAGAGGAAAGAGCGAGGGACAGTTTGCGGAGGCCAGGCGCCTGATTACTAGCCAGCTCAGGACGCCAGACATACATAACTAAATAACTTCCTAAATTCTATATCATTTCGGAGCGGGTTCCAACGGTGAAATAACGCGTCTAGACGTTGCTGAAGAAAACGAACAACGGACGGCGGCAAAAAAAGAGCGAGCTTTAATGCGTCAAGACGCTGATTTATCCTCCGAAGTCATTTTCAATATGGGCTCCGTGAAATAAATTAATGGCGCCTCCGTTAGCTTGCAGGGGGACAATCGATTCAGATTTCCTTATCTTTCCAGAAAACGATGACAAATGGACGAATAATTCGAATGAATGAAATTTAGTACTGATTTTTCATTTTTCTTCTAGAACACAATTTATCCTTAATTTATAAATGATACTGAATAATAATTAGTATTAAAATTAATCAAAATATAATTAGAAATTGATAGAAGAAATATTAAACATTTGGTATGTACAAAGTTTATACAAATATCTTGTAATATCATTAAAACTGATTCTTTTATGAATTTTTATCAATCAAATTATTTTCAAAATATTAATCGGTACTATTAATATTGATGACTAAAAAAAATTTGATTAATAACAATAGCTAGATTATACAAAAGAGTTTTAACAATAAAAATCATGTTAACTCACTTTAACCTTCGATATTAACAGTTTTCATAACCTACATACTTTCATTTCAACCAAAGAATACAAACGAAGTATTACCAAGTATAAATTCAAAATTCTGTTGTAGATTCACCGATGAACTCGCAAGCATTCGTTCCTGTGGACTGAATCTAAAATCGCGTGAGTATATACCAAAGAAATATATCGGTATTATTCAGATCGAGGAGCGTCATCTAGAAAGCGACTCGATGAGGCGAATTCTTTCCTGTCTGACCGATAACCGTTCTTCTTTAACATTCTTTCATCATTCGATGACGATGACACGTTGAAACGGATGTTTCCTTTACGAGAAATATCATGACTGAAATTCATCGTGGAATGTTGACCCTCAGGGTGGAGTACTTGTCGGTGACTGGCGCTGGCGCTAGGCAGAGGCGCTGGCGTCAGTCTGCTCGCCCGCTCGAGTAACCGCGACCGGCTGACGCCCCCCGTCTTCAGACGAGTCCACCTTGCGTTTTGCCCCCCTTCTTGCCTGGGATAACCTCCCCCCCGCCCTTGTTCGCTTCTTTCCCTCACCCTCCGTCATCACCACCTTTCCCTTCCGCCGCTTATCCTGCTTCACAACGTGTTCCAGTTGCATGGATCGCGAGCTAGGAGATTTATGATCGATTGATTATCATTTTCAAAGTTTCCCGAAAATTCATCTGTTTGGATATGAATTCATCGAATAACGATTATTCACGTAATTGTTTTCCGTGTAAAAAGAAGAAGCTCTTGGTTAGTTGAAAGAAATATTTTTAATCTTTTTTCGCCTATTATAATATTTACAGAATTTTTTATTTCATTCATCAATTCATTAAATTCGAAGATTCTCGTAATTAATGTTCCTTGTAGCAAATATATTAAATAATTTATTCAATTATTTGTACGTAATATGAATATTTCTATTCCATTGATAATATGTGTGTAATATCGATCAAAATATACGAAAAGAGAGAAAATGAAGATACGTAGTATGATTTTCAAAAGTACATTTGCGGTGTATCTGTAATACACGTACGAGTGGCGCCTCTTGCGGCGAACGCGACAAATAATGGCGCGGCGGCGACGGCCATGTTTAACAATCTCCCTTGTGTGTTTAGTATGCTGCGGTCGGTGTATCGGCGCGCCGAGACGAGACGGACGGGACGAGACGAGCGACGGCGGCGACGAGGTGGTGGAGGAAGAGGCGGTGGAAATCGGTGTGTGCGCTCATGACGGAGACCTCGTGCGTACCAGTCGCGTCGTCGAGCGGAGCCGAGTCGAGTCGTGTTACGGCCGTAATCGTGATTATTCCTCGCAACAGTTTGCTCCGTGACGACGTCAGTATCTGTGCGCGAAGACAAGAAACGATTACCAGTAGAAGAATTTAAAATAGTTCAAAATCAAGTGTAATGTCGCGGTGAAACTGAATGCAATTCTTTTCTCTATTACATCCTAACTTTTTTTATCTGAGTACGTATCGAAGTTTTAAACGTGCAACCGAAGCGCTACTCTCGTTCGACCTCTCTCGCCCTCCGCGAGTTATATATCCGATCTACGTGCGCTAGTCCTCCCTACTCTCTTTTTCTCGGTGTATATTTTGCTCTCTCTTCTATCTGTCTGTCTTACTCACGCATTATCCCTCCTCATTAGTATCTCACTCGTTCTCGTTGGCTCTTCGAGCAGCGATTTCAAGAATGTGACAGTGCGCGTCCTCGCGGTCGCCTCGCGCGAATAAGCCCGCAGGCCGGCGACGGCGATGGGTGACGAGCGACAAGTGTTACGGTGAATAGTGAGAACAGTGAAGAAGTAGGGAGAAAAAGACAGACGATGCAAGCGGAAAATGTCACTCGGTGATACGCGTATACGGATGACGGGGAGTGATCGACGCGACAATCTCGAATTTGAGGTTAAAGTGTCGTGGTCGTCGTCGTCGTTATTCTTATTGTTGTTATGTGGTGCCGGTGCGCCGGCATTGGCGACGGCACGGGCAAAGGAGTATCAAGAACGAAAACGGCACTATCGTATTCTACAGGGCTTAGCAGCCCGAGATTCAAGGGACATTGATCAAGCGCCGTGGTATATTGTTTCCAGACTCATCTCCTAAACGAAGGAAGCGAAAGAAAGAAAGATTCGCAACGATACAAAACAATTTTTCGTAAGGCGATTGTGCCAATATACGTATTATATACGCGCGCGTGTGTGTTTGTGCTTATGTGCCGGGTCGTGAGGTTAAAGCACCACATCGCCTGTCGATATACAACGTTGAGGAAAGTCAAGAACCGGTGTCGTGTGTGCGCGCGCGACCGATTCGTGCTGCTACATCTAACGGATAAGAAGTGTATCGTGATACTAATAGTGCGCGTCCGTAACCCCGCCGGCGACCGTTGCACCGTGCACATCTACGGACAACCAAAGCTGACGTTCGCGAACTATCGAGACAAGTAGACAATCCTTGTGCCTTTTCACTTATATATTATGCGCTACGTTTTTTCGTTCTCGAAAAAATCCTCGAGTACTTTCTCCAACGACAGCAGTTCCCTTTGGACACCAACTTATCCAACATATTTTCTTCAATATTGTCACTTTGTTATTCAAACGTGAAGAACATAAGATAACGTTTCAACGTTCGGTCGACAAAGCAAAAACAGTCATCTCAAGGAAATAAAATGGCGCTTTAGCTGATATCGTGGCATATAGGTAAATGAAGGTTCAAGATTAATAGACAGTATTTGTCTCAACTTCGTTTACAACCTATGAAAAAATTATCATCACAAAGATTACAGGTAATATCATTATACATTGATCCGTCCCATCACTTGTCACGCGTCATCTTTAGTTGGAAATATTTTCGTTTTCTGAAAAGAAAAAGAACGAATGACATTCACAAAAACTAGAGTGTCGCGCGTATCGGATCTGAGCATTTGAACCAGTTTTAGCGCGAAACGAACGCCATCATTCTGCCACAAGGGGACTGTCATACTATTTCGGGACCGTGATCCAAAGTGCACGAGATACGTAGAGAGCATAAATAAATATACGCGCGTGTTCTGGCCCCGTCAGAAGTCTCGAGCTGGGGACCGTCATTCGTCTGTGATTCCCTTCGGTCGTATGTGTTGGCATAAGGCGGCGGTGTTTGTTTTTTTTTCTTGACAGTGTATAACCGCCCGGTGTATATACTTCTCGTGTTCCGTTTTTTTCGTCGTCGTCACGTTGGCGAAAGAGGAGCGGCAACAGGGAAACTCAGCACTGCGAAAGGGAGAGAAACGAGGCGCGGGTAGAGGAAACTTGTGGAGGAAGAAGAGCGAGAGGGGACGGTGGTGGTGGTGGTGGAGGGGGTGGTGGAAAGTGGCGTGTCCAGTGCGCGGTGGTGTGACGGTGTCGCGTCAGGCACCGATTCCAAATATTTCACATTTTCCGCGCGGCTACGTTGAAAAGTACTGGCCCCCAAATGCACGTACCGCAAATCCTGTTTCATGTTCATGTTCTGGAGCAAACGGACGGCGCTCACTAGACGTCTCCTAAAGGCCAAGGTCCGTGGAGAGCATGAAACCGAGTGTGAAGCTCAAGAGGATTCGTCACGTATTCATCGCGCAAACAACACGAGTGGCACCGACAACGACACGACGAGCAACGTGACGGCAACGACGGGCCAAACAACCAGAGGAGCGCGTGGAGCGTCGTCAGGAGGTGCAGTCGGCGGCGGAAGAGGGGGAGGCGCAGGAGGAGGAGGAGGAGGAGGAGGAGGTAACCGTATCTCGTCGAGTAGACTACATCAAGGTTGTTGCGGCGGTGATCAGAGCCAGGATGATGACGAGGATCCCGTTCGTTTGTTGAGGTGCAAGGAGCTCCTCAAATCGCTCAAGGAAAATCAACTAGAAATGTTACTCACCGCCGTCGAAAGTTGTGGTGCCGATCTCGGCTCGTGCATCCTCGTGCCACGCCAGCATACCGAGGACAGCTACGATACCGAGCAACAATCGCAACAACAACAACAACAACAACAATGTTATCGTCATCATCGTTACCACCATTGTCATTACTATTATCATCATCCAACGCATCATCATCACTATCATCATCGGCATCATCGAAGACATCATCGTTCCTCATCCTTGGAGAAGGACGATGATCAAAACTCTGAATCAGAGGATTCGTGCGCGTCGCCAATAAGACCAGATCGATGCAGAGTACCTGTTCGTGGCTCGCTCGACAATATGCCAATCGATCCTCACCTGCTCTGCTGCCAGATCTGGCGATGGCCGGATCTCGCTCATTCGTCGGAGCTCAAGAGACTTCCTGTCTGTCATTCCGCTAAAGACCCTGTATACATATGCTGCAATCCTTATCATTGGAGCCGGCTCTGCAAACCCGGTAAGTAGTTTTTTTTTCTTTAGTATTTTTTTCTCATTTTTTTAAAATGTTTTTTTAACGTGTGATTATTTAAAATTAGCAAAGTTGTGTTAATTTTATATACATATATATACTATATGTATATAAATCTTGTTATTGATTTTTATGAGTAAATAAAAATAGAGATGACCTTCTGATAAGTTTGGGAATTATTATGCTTTATAAGTATAATAATTTAATTATAGAAATGAAATAATACTCTAGCTAATAGATTTTATTTGTTTTGATTCATGTATAGATTAAATTATCGTCGTGCTCGCGCCATTATTTTTATAATAATTACATCGATCTTAACCTTTCGTACACTTTCAATTCATATTATATCGTTTTTTGAACGATATATAAAATTAAAATAAATAACATAAATATCAAATATAATACAAAAAAAGAGAAAGAAATTAAAACGTAAAATGAATGTGTAATTCTTTAAAATTCTTCGTGAATTGAATTAATTTGTAATAGATAGAATAGCATTTCCGTATTTTATTACGAAATATTGAACTCGTGTAAAATTAGATGAGAAAGAACACATTCTCATTTATTATTTCATTTAATTTTCAATTAATTTTATGACATTGCTTACACGATAAATCGAATGTTCGAACGCGAAATGAAATTTGTGTTTATTAGAGAAATTGTAATGCAGAAACGTAATTGAGATATGTTCGTATTAAACAGCAATTGAAGCAATTCATTTACGAATTATTTTACATATTTTCGTTAATTTTTAAATTTTGTCAAAACACTTATGTACAATTAATTTCTCAATTAATTGTATTAATAAATTGATTAATTGTGTTATAAATATTTCCTTCGAAATTTAAAGATCAAAAATGGATTATTAATCTTGACTTGATTCGAATAATTTTTTTTTCTCTTAAAAATTAAAAGCGTAACTAATTACAACAAATTCTCATATTTGACATTTACACTCTATTAAAATGGCGGAACAACACGCTATTTGTCACAATTGACAAATACATCGGGAGACCACGTTTAAACATCGGAACCCATAACTGAGAGTGATTTTAAGCGTCGTTAAGATGTCTCGGAAAATCAGCTGTCACCACCATAAATTCCAGAAATAACAAATTTATGAAGTCATCTGCGTGTATGTACCTATTATACCGTGAAGACATCGTAAATATAGGATTCCAATAAATTAGCAAACCTAGCAAACAATGGCGCGTTATTGTCTCCGGCAGCCAATCCACAATTATATCGTAAATTGTCACCGAGACGTATTGAATAAAATTGTTGAGCGAATAGAGTAGCATAGTAGCGATTCCATGCACGGACATCTGGACACGATCGTGACAAAGTTGATTAAATACCGATAAGTTCAATGCACACGTGGAGTATCGATGGTTCATAATAGTTGAAAGTAAAAATTTTACGAAACATATATATAAATATATTAATATATTACGTTTTCATAGAAACTATTTTATTTTTAATACAGAAACGAATTTGAGATATGGAATATTTATTTTTTTTTATTGTGTATATATCGTATTTTCATTCATTTGCGTCCGTAAAATACTTTGTTTTTTGTTTAAAGAGATGTATTCAAATATTTCAAAAATATCTTAGCAAAGAATAAATTTTGGTATTCAAAGAACAGCCTTGGATAACAATGACGATCTCCATTAAAAATACGGGTTAAACGCGCGATGATAGTTTCACGTCTTGCACTCGATTCCGTTTGGAATCGTCCAGAAACGCGTACACCACCACTTGTTCGAGACGACATAAATACGTTGAGCGATATTTCACGCTCATTCCCGTACAGTTCACGCCGTTCTGACAACAGTGGCACAAAAGCCGTGCTTCATTGCCGATTCCCATGGCGAAGCAAAACCGTCCGCTTTCATCAAAATTTATTACTTCAACTGTTGCTCGCGACTGCTACCGTGAGGGCAATCAAGAACATTTACACGTATCGATACCATTCACTATTCCGCTCTTGTTTCTTTTGTCGTACACTCAGGGTTCAGGCTCGCAAAGAGGCTCTGGGTAGCCCGCGCATTCAAACGCAATTCACCGGTGATATTTTTTATTCAGTCCACGAACGCGTGTACTCTCATTTACCTAGGAACCCGACACCAGCTGGACATCGACTAATCCTCCTCGCTATCGGTAATAAATTACCGGTTTCACATTGACCCGAGGCTGCGGGCTCGTTAACGAGCCTCGTACAGGTGACGATTAGCATTTGGTTCGCGGCACGTTGTCGTTACAATGTCGGCCTTTCACGTGCTTAAATTATTCGCACGTCTCCGAAACGACGCTGGAGGTTTCACACGTCCCAAAGACGAGGCGATCGGATGGTTTAACATGTATCCGTACTTCGAATAAAGCGATAGTTTTAATAGGTATTAATAGTTTCGATTCGATTTTTTATTACTAGAATGTTCAATTAAATATTTCTCATCTAATCTGTTATTGTATTTGAAAATAATTTTTTCTGTGTCTAAAATATTATTCTAAAATAATATTTTCAAATATATTCTAATAATCATTAGTAATAATCTTAATAATAATCTAAAACTAGAGATAAGTAGTAGATAATATTGTTAGGGATGGACAATGATATATTTTATAATAATGATCAGTTGATGATTATCAAAACAAAATATTTAATATTGTTATATAATTTTTTTATATATCAAATATTTTATTTTATTTTTCGTAGTCCAAAACGTTTGAAAAAAAATATGCTTGAACGATTGAGTTGTCATATTAGGATTGAAGAGTACCAGCCAAACTTTTCTTTTGAAATAAAATGGTTGTCTAACAGGTAGGCAATACCTGTTAGTCCATCTGCTGGACGACATTTTTTACAGGTTTTGAATGGTGTTCCAGTGTAAACTCATAGCAGGTACGATTATCTTTCCAATCGAAATCTGTCTAGACCTATCAATTCCGTTTCATCTACTTTTTTTTCAAGATTTTTGATTCCCTATTGTGGAAAAATGCCCATTCATCGCCTACTAACATTGGAATTTAATCTTAGTTTCCTTATTTTCTCTACTTTTTATATTTTTCCTAATATGGATATATAGGAAATAGATTTGTATTGCAATTAAAAAAATTTTTATTTATATTATAATTATATAATAAATAAAATAAATATTATTTTTAATTTTGATTTTAAATAATTCTTTTCATTAAATATTGAATTTTCATTTTCTTTGAATGAAATTATTTTTTATATTTAGAATTTTTTATTAATATGAGCTAAAATTATCATAAATCATTCAGAAATTTAACATATTTTCTTCAAGTACTTATCTATTTGTATTTTTGTGAAATAGATTCCAATTGCACACAGAAATAACAAAATCATCTAGTATATAGACTTGTGTCATTAGCTGGCACCTTACATAATCGTAAAATTTATTAATTTCACCGTCTTGTGGCACCGTCTGTCTGCTTATTGGCGACGCGAATTCAATTACAAAAAAAAAACAGTCGCATTCTATTGATACAAAGACGGTGTTAGAAGGAAAGAGAGGGAGTAAGTATAAGGCGCCAGTAAAACGCGTCTTTATGTAACTTCAACGAGTATTTAAGTCGGTTATTGCTTGACTTTTGAGAAAAATTAGATGATTGGCTAATCCTGATCGAAAATTTAAAACGATGAATAAACAAAGTGATGGAAAGTAATTAAGCAAATTTATTTGATTTGATTCTTGAATGTTTTTATTATTAAATCATCAGAGATTTATTAATTGAAAATTAACATAATCAAATTGCGTCTGTGGAAGATTGAATATTGCATGTGAAATTAATTTAATGAAATAAAATATATTAATACGAATAAATACGAATTAATTATGAAAATGATTATATTTTTAATATAGTTTATGATCATTTTTTTTTAATAATATCATGAATATGCATGTGAATGACGATAGTGTTTATATGCATATCATGATTTATTAAAATGAATGAATCTTTATTAAATATCGAAATCTTGATAAATTATTCAAATTACAAAAATATATAGCTTCGGTTTTTTTTTTTAATATTTACTATCATAGAATTTTCGCTTAAGATAAACTTATTTTTATTTTTTATATTCTATAATGAAATATATATAAAGAATTAAAAAAATAAAAACAAGTTAGTACAAATGAAAAAATTAATGAAAACTTTTGTTGTTATTCGAGTTCAATTACTATTATTGCTTAATTTTATTACGCTTTCAGAAACATTGAATGGGAACTTGGAAAACGAACGTTTAATACAAAATACATCTATAAATTATGAAAATTTATTGCTGCATTTCTAAAGTGTCGTTAGTATACCTAGCATCGAATATCGGTCGGCATATTTCCTCCCGAAAATATATAGTATATATATTCAAGAGAGATTCTATTTATATTAAAATCATGTACTTCTAATCTTATTTATAATACGGCGCCAGTATATTTAATGTGCTCTAAATATCGTTCTGACGCGCAAATATCACCAACCATACGCACGACAGTGGAAGAAAAACATCTCGAAATGGTACAAAACTCGTAATTCACAACACGATTTCGATCGTGAATTTATTAAATAAAAAATCTATTTGTAGCTTATCTCAATAAAATCAACGTAGCTAAACGATAAGAGGGAAAAAAAAAACGTTTTTAAAAAGATTGTCATGACATTTAGACATGAAGCAATAGAAAAGATATGGATACAACGGCCATGACGATAAATTGTATATGTATATTGGACAAATGATTATGGGAACATTACTCTAATCGTTTTTATGGGACCGCCTTCTTATATTAGAATGTCTACAAGAAACTCGTAAACTAATATCTCTTAGTGGTATTGCAGTAATATTAATATAGGAAACCGAGAAACTGGCACTGTTCTCGATTTCGCGATGACGACGCCGATTCGTCACAGTTCGCCGCGCTGTGCGAGATCTATCGATAATCAGGAGCGCCGGAAAATGTGCG